TGACACGCGTGTCATAGGTTCGCCATCACTGGCCTAGAACAACTCAAAAAAAGAAGTGTCTATGTAGATTCTCTGTCTTCCAGGTCACGGTTGATCCAAAGGTGCTATTTCAAGAGGCAACTGGACTTTCTGATTTTTCTTTGAAGAAGTTTCATGTCTTCAAAGAAAAATCAGAAAGTCCAGTTGCCTCCTGAAAAAGCACCTTTGGGTCAAAGAAGACGTGAAAGATTAGAAGATGTGGAGAGAAGTGGACCATAGAATTATCAAGAGTTCGACACAACTGAACAGTTCACATCGTAATTGTTATCAGTATCATCATCCTTCATGAGATACATCTTGGACCTTCTACTTGGGCCAAATCTTTTCTGATTCACTCTCTGTTGGACAATGTAGCATGGTTTGTTGGATTTTTTCCAAGAGGTTCATTATTCTTACTTGATGACATGGGCATCATATGGAAAACTATATGGAACTGGCATATGAAGTGCATACAAAGACAGGTAAATAGTGAAGAGTTGTCTTTATTTGCTTGGCCTGTCTACCTCCTCCATCGGCAAGAATAAAGTTTATTGTTTGCACTGCACATCAAGAGAGGCCACCTCTGAATGATGGGAGCTGCCTTAACACCCCATAATAAATGTTTTTGGTCATCCAAGTCAGTTCCAAACACAGATTCCTAGAAAGGAAAGAATCAACCAAGCCTCCATTACACAGAAGTAGGAGCTATAGAAATACCTGAAACTAAATATGATTGGATCAATTTCTAATGGCCCCTTGTATCTCTGCCCTCTGGCCACTTGCATACTTGATATTAGCTATGGAAAATAACAAGGCCAAATGAATCCACAAATTGTCACAGTGAGGCCAAACATAAATTATTTATGCCTAGTTGTCAGTGCCGAAGTCTGAAAATCCTGCAACCTGTTCATTTCTTTGTTTGAAGAAGCTTGCAATAGATAGCTGTTGCAACAAAGTGTGCAAATACCACAATTATCAGTATAATCTGACCTTTTTAGACAATGTAAGAAAACCAGCCCACAAACCCACAGCCACACTCCACCAGGAATTATCCAGAACCAAAGACAAGATATAGAAGGATGAAAGAAACAATTTACAAAATCAACTCTAACGATTGCAACTAATTCTACATGGGACAAACATCACGTCAATTGAAAACTAGGGTCCATGATCCCCAGCTGGCAATAAATGCCTCAATCCAAAATCCCTAATCGCTATCCCTAATAACCCACACTGACCCCAAATAACATCAATTTGATTGCATCAATACAAAAATCCTTGGCCATGCTGCCATGCATGAGAGTTTATCGAAGCCTCGCACTCCACAAGTAATTCCACCAACAAACACATCAACCTACAACCAGCCTACGAACCCCTGAGAATTCAAATCACCCACACAATCAACCAGCGACAGCTCCAACCTTCAACCAACCCACAACCAGTCCCAACCAGCATTTCACCTCACAATGACCCTCACCTAATGTGACCTCCCCATCTCAAAACCTCTCACAAGACAAGACCCATTGCAAGACTCTTCACAAGACCCTCACCTGACCTGACCCATCACAAGATCCATCATTAGATCCTCACCTGGTGTGATCCTCCCATCACAAGACCTACTGACCACCCAAAGCCCTTATAAGCAGAACACAAACACTGACATTCCCCCAATTCTGTTGCATATATTACCTAGCCTGGTAATGAAACATTCAGAAATCATCCCACAAACTCAACCTCCACCCTCATCCTACACCCGAGCTACAGATATTTACCATATTATAAGAAAACCTGTGCCCAGAGTCAAGTGGATACAAGGAGGCCATGCTTT